CGGGGCTCCGGGCTGGGCGCCTGGGTCTGTGCCCAGATTCTCCACGTGGCAGCCGTGGGACCTGGCACGCGGCTGCCCTCTGAGTCTTAGTTTCCTCATCATCCACAGGGCCCACTGCATCCAGGAGAAGCCAGCGCCCGCTCGCATCCCTGGGCAGCCCGTGCCCTGAGGACTGAGCCGCTGACCTGAGTCCTGGGGTGGTGAGGCAGTGCTGGTGGGAGCCCAGGGCAGCCCCACTCCCTGGAGTATCGGGGAGCGCCCACCCGGCCCTGCACCCTCCGTCCAGGAGGCAGAGGTGACCGCTGGGGCCCGAGCTGCCTCAGGTCTCCGCATGAGAGGCTGCTTTATGCTGTTGCGCATGTGTCACGCTGTGCCACCTCGCGATCTGGGCTGCACGGGACAGTGCCCTGGAGGATTGGCGACCTTGCAGGTGATGGGCAGCTGGGGTTGGAATCCCTGGCCCTTCACACTCTACCCTGCCTCAGTTTCTGCCTGTGCGCCTCACCCCTGCACCCGCCTTCCTCCAAGGACTGCAAACTGTCCATCTCCCCCGACGAGGGAAGGCCTTCGGGCGGCGTCCCTGTATCTTCAGTGCCTGGCACGGGCCTGACACACAGCAGACACAGTGATGGACAGTAGTTGTTACCAGATACAGATCTGGGCTTCCTGAACCAGGCCACGTCACAGAGGTGGTGAGCCTCCTGTCCTGGGAGGCATGTAAGCAGAGTTTGGGATTCGAGGCCTCATGCCGGTTGGATGGGCTGTAGGCTTCTGTGATGGTCATAGCTGGGCTCCTGCAAGTTTATGGTCTGGGGCCTCCCAGGGTTCCTATTGTGGCCTCACAGAGTAAACAGGCCAGAGAAGAAAAGGCTGACCACATCTGCCTTCAGAGGGAGGCTTGAAGGCAGAGCCAGGGAGGGAGGGGTTTCAGGTTTCCTGTTGGGTCCTGATAGAATCGGGGCAGAAGAGGAGGAAGGAGAGGAAAAAGGAGGGATTCAGGCTGGAGGAGGAGACAGGGAAGGTGAGAAATGTGGGGTGGGGGGTCCTGAGGCCGAGTCTGCACCTCCTTCTCTTCCCCTAAGTTCTGAGGGTGCGCGCAGGCGCCTCTGTGCCTTTGAGCCTGCCTTCCTGCAGGAGGCCCAGTGCTGCACAGTTTGCAGCCTCCTGGGCGCACTGTCCTGGCTCCCAGAGGCGGGGCCAGGTGAGGCGGGAGAGGAACGAGAGGAACGGCCTTAAACTGTGCACCCTGCTGCCTCTCCGGCCTCGCCCTGAACTCTCCAAATGGATATGGGTTTCCAGCTTGACCATTCCCGGCTCCCGGCTCACCGTCTGCCAGGGCCAGACCACCCCTGCAGCCTTTGTGGGTGGCGGTGCTTCCCACACTTGCTCTGAGTCTCCTCTGGAGACCAGGGGAGGGGCGGGGCGACCTGCCCAGGGTCACACGGCAGGTGAGGG